GGGAAGGGAAAGAGGACTAAATTAGGCCTCCAGGACGCACACTCATCAGACGAAACGCGGAATTGCTTCCACTTCACGCCTGTCTTCTGTGTGGTCGTGGTATTTCACCGGGCGAGCCGGGCCGATTCGTGCGAAGACGTTAAAGCGGGCTCTACCACTGTTAAAATCTACTTTAATATTTAGGAGTTAATTAAATTAATAATTGGTTGTACCCTTTGAACACTACAGTTAAAAGTACCGATCGTATGACTTGACTTGACTTAACACATTAGATGCCATAATGACTTTTCGAAAAACGATTTTTTTTTTAAATTTCATCTAAAACCATTTTAATGAGGACTTGCCGGTCACGCTGTATACAACAATTCGAATATTCGATTAAAAAGCGTCCGACAGGCCACAGCGAGGTGTTGAATGGAAGTAGGGCTTGTCGGACACATAATCCAACATGGCAGCTAACGTGTTAAAGTCCTATGTCCCCGTAGTGGGGCAGAGGGCGTCCACAGAGCGCCGTCAGTTCGCTCTATCTTGGGGGCTCTGCGTTTGGTCTCGGGCCATGTCAGCCCAATTGCCTTCACGTCGGCAGCTACTGAGCTACCGATCGTATAATACCTTCAAAATTAGTTTAGATTTTTAGCTTAGCTTAGTCATGATGGAATTGACTTACAGCACATAAAAAACACTACATGACGGCGAAACGCATGACCATTTTGCATTTTTGACTCACTTAAAATATTCTCCGGTAACCGGTGATTTCTGAGACCCAAATCTCTATATAAAACATATCGCCTTCCTCGTCATTATCCTTGACAAAAGTCATAACAATATGTTTTGAATGAAGATTTAGGTCTCAGAAAACCACGGTAAATCAAGCTAAAAGGCAATTAAATTACATGATACTTACCGCTGATGGTAAAAACTGGGTTTCCGTTAATGTGGGGCGAGTAATCTTCGACTTTATCTGACGGTTTGACGACATCGAGGGCTCCAACCATGCCTGGATAAACAAAAATATATTTTATTTCTAATGTTCTTTACAGTCACATTCAAGTAATCTTTAATGAAATGTGCAAACGAAGCACTAACCGATGGTTTCTGAGCTCAAAATCTCTGTGTTAACCATATCGTCATCCCTGTCATTCTTGACAAAACAGAGGTAATATTATGTTGTAATTGAAAATGTTGGTCTCAGAAACCCACAGTAAATGATACCTCTGATTGATGTCTAGTTGCATCTAACTGTATCACAATAAAGTTTTAATTACCGCTGGCTTAGTACTGTAATACTCAAAAACATTTAATAGTTACTTAATCACTTTTAAACTCACACTAAGTGACTCCCATAGAGATTAATTAATAACACTGCATCATTTCCATTCAGCATATTCTGAAATTTAATTTCTTATTCTAGACATAATGAAATAAGTCGAAATAACTATATACAGAGTGTTTCAATGGAAGCTAAAATTATTTAGCTAAAAAAAATAGCCCAAGTTGTGAAATCAAATACCACTAATGTAGTGAAATCTTAGACTGAAGCCGGACAAAGGTCTGTGAGATTATTGTATTTAGGTTAAAAAGTGAACTTGTCAAAAAGTGAAAGAAGTTAAATTTAAATATGTCCTGAATTTTGTTACTTACAACTACGTATTTTAAAAGTACATTATTTTAAGA